CATGGTTGCATTTTAGTATCGAGAAAGATTGCCAGAAACTCATTCGCTGTGTGAACAGCCAAAAAGCGATTTCAGAAATTTTTCCTGCAATTCACCGTTCGGAAATAAAAACTTCTTACGAAAGACACTTTCCATGCAAGGTGTGACTGCGCATGCAACTGATTTCTCAATTTGACAGCCTTTCCGAAATTTATTGCATCGNATGATTGGCGGGCGTTTATACTGAGCTTAAACCATGGCCGTGCAAAAACTGGCCCCTAATTGGGCAGCTTGCTTTAAATTTTCCCTTTCAAATCAGGTTCAATTTTTCTTTCAATATTGATCAGCTGTTCAGCATTGGCATGCGAATTTCTTGAAAATGAAAAAAATACTAAAAGGTTAATCTGCAATGGAATCAACAGTTCAGAACCTGGTTAGTTACATTGTCTTTTTGTAGATGGTATGCTGAGGATGAAATTGCAATTTTGATAATTTTTGACAAGCAATGTGTGTGAGAAAATGGTAAGGCAAAATTTATTGTTTGTTCTCTAGCTATCTGTGGTGCAGCGGAAAAGCACAGTTTACTGAATAAAACACGAAAAAAGTGGTAAAACTTAAATGAAAAATTAATAAAAAAAAACTTCATACTGCTGTCGAATTTCCTTCCCCCAAATTTTTGGGAAAATTGCTATTTCCTGTGAGTTAATTGTTGGAGGATTTCTTTCTCGGGAGAAACAAATTTCCGGAGAACAAACTCCCTGGGAGTATTAAGAATTGGGCTGATAAACATCGATCAGCAGACCGAGCAATTATCCCGCAGAATATTTTGATAGTCGGTTAACGAGTAAATAGAAAATTCTGAAAAAAATGCATGAGCACATCCGAACTCAGCGACAAGTCTGTATAGTTTTGCAAACACCAAATTAATGCAACGTGAAAAGATTATATAAAGGTTTTTGTGGCCCTTCGGCAGACAAAGAAAACCCTCCCCAAGTAAGCCTGTGCTACAAAAAATCTTCTTATAAAAAGCCATTTGGAGGTGGAATCAAATCTTTGGTCCTTTCGTTTATATAATAACAATAATACGTACGCCAATTTTTGCAAGCCTAGATTCAGAGACGGCAACTCAAAGTTTGTTGCAGAGAGGGCGACGAGGAAAAGGGAAGGGCACCGAGTTGCTCCTGCAACAGCAAAAGAGAAATCGCCGATAATAAGAAACAAAAGTTTCCGTGTCTGTACTCAATCTAAAGTCATGAACAAATTAGAACAGATCTGACCGGTTGGGAAGCAGCCATTTGTAACAGTAATTGAGAAAAAAGTGTGTGACGTTCGTAATTTTTAAGTTTGCTATTTATGTTTTGTTTCTTTCTTAATGTGTATTTTGTCGATGGTTTATTTCTGTGCAATTTTTTTTTGGCAAATGTAATTAAAATGAAATGCGCGGTGATTGGTTGCAAAAACACGTACAAAAATAATAAATTGGTTAGCACAAACATGTGCTACAAAATTGAATTTTTTCTCGTTTACTTTACAAAGAACATAACACGGCTCCGAAATTACAATCGTCAGCCAGAAAATTACTTTTTTCTTTTGCTTCATCTTGTCAGATCTTCTATAGTTGGATCATGATCTAAAGTGCTCAACATTTATTTTTTGGTCAACGACAGTCTATGCGCGCTTTACATTAAACTTTTGCCTGGTATATAAGACCTTTAAGTTCTATTACAATTCGGAGAAATGTGNTTGTGTGACGTTCGTAATTTTTAAGTTTGCTATTTATGTTTTCTTTCTTTCTTTATGTGTATTTTGTCGATGGTTTATTTCTGTGCAATTATTTTTTGTGCAAATGTAATTAAAGTGAAATGCGCGGTGATTGGTTGCAAAAACACGTACAAAAATAATAAATTGNATTAGAACAGATCTGACCGGTTGGGAAGCAGCCATTTGTAACAGTAATTGAGAAAAAAGTGTGTGACGTTCGTAATTTTTAAGTTTGCTATTTATGTTTTGTTTCTTTCTTAATGTGTATTTTGTCGATGGTTTATTTCTGTGCAATTTTTTTTTGGCAAATGTAATTAAAATGAAATGCGCGGTGATTGGTTGCAAAAACACGTACAAAAATAATAAATTGGTTAGCACAAACATGTGCTACAAAATTGAATTTTTTCTCGTTTACTTTACAAAGAACATAACACGGCTCCGAAATTACAATCGTCAGCCAGAAAATTACTTTTTTCTTTTGCTTCATCTTGTCAGATCTTCTATAGTTGGATCATGATCTAAAGTGCTCAACATTTATTTTTTGGTCAACGACAGTCTATGCGCGCTTTACATTAAACTTTTGCCTGGTATATAAGACCTTTAAGTTCTATTACAATTCGGAGAAATGTGCTCCCAATTTTTGCAATTCACTTCCGTTCCGCTAAAGCAACCCTGTGTGAGAACCAAGCCATATTCCGACATTTTGTTTTTCACGCATCGTTTTGGAGCGAAGCACAAAAAGTATTATACACACCCGATTCAATCGATTGAAGCCATCCCGAGCAGCAGGAAGTGTACTATTCGAAGCAAAGAAAAAGTGAAAATTTCTGTTTCTGCCCAAATTAATTGAGTAAAAGTTAAGTGAAAATGGGCGATCAACGAGGTACACNACGAAGCAAAGAAAAAGTGAAAATTTGTATTTCTGCCCTAATTAATTGAGTAAAAGTTAAGTGATAATGGGCGATCAACGAGGAACACGCGTCTATGTCGGTAATCTAACCGATAAAGTGAAGAAGGATGATCTAGAAGGAGAATTCACTAAATATGGCAAGTTAAATTCAGTTTGGATTGCNAATTTTTTCTCGTTTACTTTACAAAGAACATAACACGGCTCCGAAATTACAATCGTCAGCCAGAAAATTACTTTTTTCTTTTGCTTCATCNCTACAAAATTGAATTTGTTCTTTTTTACTTTTCAAAGAAAACAACATGGCTCCGAAATTACAATCGTCAGCCAGAAAATTACTTTTTTCTTTAGCTTCATCTTGTCAGATCTTCTGTAGTTGGATCATGATCTAAAGTGCTCAACATTTATTTTTTGGTCAACGACAGTCTATGCGCGCTTTACATTAAACTTTTGCCTGGTATATAAGACCTTTAAGTTCTATTACAATTCGGAGAAATGTGCTCCCAATTTTTGCAATTCACTTCCGTTCCGCTAAAGCAACCCTGTGTGAGAACCAAGCCATATTCCGACATTTTGTTTTTCACGCATCGTTTTGGAGCGAAGCACAAAAAGTATTATACACACCCGATTCAATCGATTGAAGCCATCCCGAGCAGCAGGAAGTGTACTATACGAAGCAAAGAAAAAGTGAAAATTTGTATTTCTGCCCTAATTAATTGAGTAAAAGTTAAGTGATAATGGGCGATCAACGAGGAACACGCGTCTATGTCGGTAATCTAACCGATAAAGTGAAGAAGGATGATCTAGAAGGAGAATTCACTAAATATGGCAAGTTAAATTCAGTTTGGATTGCTTTTAATCCACCAGGCTTCGCTTTTGTGGAATTCGAGCACCGTGATGACGCAGAAAAAGCCTGTGACGTGCTTAATGGTACAGAATTGTTGGGCTCACAGCTACGTGTAGAAATCTCCAAGGGCCGGCCACGTCAAGGTCGTCGTGGTATGGGCGACCGTGGTCGGCGTGACTTCGGTCGTCGAAGCAACAGCGGTGGCGGCGGCGGCGGTTATCGCCAACGTGGCTCCGGCAGCGGTGGCGGACGTTACAACGACCGTGGCTACTCCGGTGGTGGTGGCCGTCAAGGTGGCGGATACAGCAGCCGCGATGGCGGCAGTAGTGGCTTCAATCGACGCGACGTCTACGGTAGCAGCAGTGGTGGACGCGATAGTGGACGTTCTTTCGGCGGCAGTGGTGGATACGGTAGCGGAAGTGGCGGACGCAGTGGTGGCAGCCAAGGTGGAGGACGCTTCAGATCGCGTTCGCCAGTCGGTCATCGCTTCTAAATTAAGCAGCAATGGATAAAAAAGTAAAGAAATATTCATACATACTATATTGTGTTTAAGGAAGGTAGCATGATGTGATTGTTGGAACATGTGTGAGTGTGGCACCAACAGCGCAATTTTTAAAATTATAGGAGATTACTAGTACGCAGTAATAGTTTTGAGAGTATTTGAGAAATGCAAAACTGCAATTCGTTTTAGAAGTGTAAGGGCTATCGAAATACAACACACAACACAGACAAGTGTTTAGACAGAAAAGATTCATTAATTGGTTTAAGTAAATGTAGAGCAAATAGACATCAAGAAACCGATGATAAACACGATGATGATAATTTGTAGAAAATGTCTACCGCTACCCAAATTTGAACGCTAATTATAAGCTAATTCGAGACAACAAGTTACTACGTAAAAAAGAAATCATAACTTTTGAAATAAAATATCTTCAATATCTATGTATACTTAACAGTATTCGCAAATTATCTGGATGTATTGATTTTTCTTCGAATTTTCGTTTATAAAACTTTATGTTAATTTTTCGCTAATCTTATCTACACACATTTCAACTACGACATACGACGTATATTATTCTACACTTCCAGCCTAAAATCCACGCCTTACACGCTCGCTCGCGTAAACGCATTATCCATGCTCGAACCTCGCAACTCCGAATTGGCTCCGTTTTGTGTTATCTACGCAGACCAAGTTGAAGACTTATCTTCGAAGAAACTCATTTCAACTGCCTACACGCGTTCACAAGATTAATACGGCAGCCTAAACAAGCGCAACAACCACCAGTTGGTTACGTTTCCTCCGTTAAATTTTCTTAATCGTTCTTCGTTTGTATAATACGATCACGAAACACGTTTTCCAAAAACTTCCAACACTTTTAAAGCTCAGTCCTCCGCCTTTTATTTTCGTTTGCCACCATTGCGTCGCACATTTCCGCTTTTCATATTCATCGCACAATATCGCAATCAAATCAAGTAATCAGCTAAACTGAAAATAGAAACCGTATCTATATCATTCGTTACTGAACGCGTCCAACTATGTTCTATCTCCGTCTGCGCTTCCGTAGAAAATTCAAATTCTTCGCATACCAAATTGAAAAAGATGCTATGCTTCGTACTTGCCCATGTATACCCTTCCCGACCCCGAAACCGACTACTAAGCCGTACCCGTTTTAAATGCTTAATGCAATTATGCCATTTTACGCTTCGAAATTAAGCATTTCTTGTTGGTTGGGTACACATCTAAACAATCAAGTGTCGGTGGGGGGTAAACGCGCTAAATCTTAGCGGGCAAATATCTCGCTTGAAACCCCAAATACACTATGCCAGCTTATACATTTAACAGAACAGCCATACGAGGACTTGAGCACAAACCAAATGACTTACTATACAATACTCAAGGAACTGACTATGTGGACGCTAATTTCCTTTCCCACTAACTATCACTTTCCAAACCCCTTTTTTCAGCAACGATTAATGGAGATTTTCGAGTTTGTAAGTATAAGACATGATACAAAAATTTGAAGGTAAAACCGCTGAGAGGCAGCATGAACATTTTTGAAGCTTGCTAACATAAATAAAAGAATATTTGAATATTTTCATCTATTTGTTTTACTTTTATTTGGCAAATAAATTTGGCAACTTCAAAAAATAAATTATGACTGACAAATTGAGTGAGCGGTTTTACTTTTAAATATTTTTATCATGGTATTAGATTTTAAGAGTTTTATTTTTCATATTTTCAGTTTTTAAATATAACATTTATGCGAATTATGTAAATTTTATTTAAATTAGAATGCTTTGGCAAGTCAAAAAAAAAAATTTATGGTAATCTTCACAGTTTTTATCAGTAAATTTGTTATAATTTCTGGCCTTAATTATCNTAAATAAAAGAATATTTGAATATTTTCATCTATTTGTTTTACTTTTATTTGGCAAATAAATTTGGCAACTTCAAAAAATAAATTATGACTGACAAATTGAGTGAGCGGTTTTACTTTTAAATATTTTTATCATGGTATTAGATTTTAAGAGTTTTATTTTTCATATTTTCAGTTTTTAAAGATAGCATTTATGCGAATTATGTAAATTTTATTTAAATTAGAATGCTTTGGCAAGTCAAAAAAAAAATTTATGGTAATCTTCACAGTTTTTATCAGTAAATTTGTTATAATTTCTGGCCTTAATTATCTATTAGCTGTCAATGACCGAAAATAGTTATNAATAAAAGAAAATTTGAATATTTTCATCTATTTGTTTTACTTTTATTTGGCAAATAAATTTGGCAACTTCAAAAAATAAATTATGACTGACAAATTGAGTGAGCGGTTTTACTTTTAAATATTTTTATCATGGTATTAGATTTTAAGAGTTTTATTTTTCATATTTTCAGTTTTTAAAGATAGCATTTATGCGAATTATGTAAATTTTATTTAAATTAGAATGCTTTGGCAAGTCAAAAAAAAAATTTATGGTAATCTTCACAGTTTTTATCAGTAAATTTGTTATAATTTCTGGCCTTAATTATCTATTAGCTGTCAATGACCGAAAATAGTTATGCTGAGTGTATTAAAACTAAATTTAATGGTCGTGAAAGCTAATCGGCTTTCGGTTTTTGTTATCTTTATTGAGTTTAGCTTATTTTTCTCTACCATATCAACTATTCATAAGTTTCTCACTGTCTACATATTTGCATGCAGTGGTGGGGAAATAAGTAGGGGCACGTTTTTTAAAATTTTTTTTTGTTGTATTTGGTTTCTTTTTTTTTTTCAGAATAAAAATTGTCAAAAATCAACGCNCATTTTTTTTTTTTTTTTTTTTTTTTTGGTTTTTTTTTTTTTTTTTTTTTT